CATATTGGAAAAACACATATTCCTACTCATGGGATAGAACATGTGTGGTGCTCTGACAACAATTGTGTATATTTCACTAAGCTCCAGTATTTTTCATTATAATAATAATAAAATACATTGTGACATGTACATGTGTGTAATACACCTTTTAGACAGTTTAATGTATAAAGCCAGTTGTACACCTATAGCCAGCTACTCCAATATACATCTGGTAAAGTTTGTGTTTAAATTGTATTTGTTATTAAACTCATCATGTGTATAAAATGTATGTGCGGGGGATTTTTTTATCAAATCATTAAAAATACTAACTCCACATCTATACCATTCAGGATAAAATACACACTTCTGATTTATAGTTAAACTTTTATTATACCATAAAGGCAATTTTAAAAACGATTGTCCCTTTTCCCTTACAAGATCTTCCTTATAAGAAAGTCTCCTCCATGCTTTAAATACATCTTTCCAGAACAAATTTGTACTTGTATTTTGGCATATAGATATATATTTATTACCACAGTTAAAGAGAAGATCAATATTGATATATGTTTTTAATATCTCCTGCCATTTGCCTTGTTTTTGGAGAAGCCTCCTTATCCAACTTAATTTTAAAGATTCTATAAATGACAATAAGTGTACCATCTTAAGACCTCCATCTCTATAATTTTCAACAACAACATCTCTCTTTATTTTATCAACCTTACCATCCCAAAGAAATTCATAAAGGATACAATTGAGTTTATGAAGAAATTTGTCACTGGGATTTGGTAAAGAAATAAACAAGTGATTAAATTGGGAAACCATTAATGACTTTATGACATGTATTTTACCAATAGGAGTAATAGATCTTCTTTTCCATGAATTAATAATAGATTTAAGCTTAACAAGTTTTTTTTATCAAAGTTTAGTTTTGGTATCCTATGTAGGTCTACATGAAATTCTACTCCAAGAAGCTTAAACTGTTCTGCACCCCACTGAAGATTTACTTCCGGTAATAAATTCCGGTTGTATATTATTTATTATTTATTAGTATAAGAGAATTAACACATATGCTACCACGTCTTTTGATGGCAGTACCTGTATTTATCTATTTATCTATTATTTATATGCTTTTAAATCCACTAAGTATCCTAAACATAGAGACGTTTTCAAAAGACAATTTGAGCGAGATATACCGTATATAAAATAATATGCAAGTCATAACTAACAAAGGACACGAAGTTTTACACAACATGAACTTACTAAAGCAGATGTGAAATCATTGCTCTGGAAGGGTACATACATTTCCTTTTTTTATTATAAAGTTTAACAATATCTACTCGTAACAGGAACCGTTACACCATAAGGTGCCGAGGCTAACCAAGTAGTCGCAAGTGATGGATCAGAACATGATCGCAATGCCATAATAGTAGGGTTGTCAAACCGGTCTTATTTTTGTAACCGGTTACTGTCCTACCGATCGAGTAACCGGTTAATCGGTCAATTTGGTAGTTAAATAATAAACAGCAACAAATACATTATATGTTTGGAAAATGTTCTATCTGAAACGTATTTACACCACAAACATACATGTACATATTGATCAGCATGATAGTTTACTCGTGTATTTCGAGGTTTACACAGGATTGCATGTAATTGCATGTTACCTCAGTAAGTATATGTCATGGACAACGAATGTCGGAATGCAGTAAGACGGATTCAATTACAGTTATCTGTACTCTAAATTTTATGCGGTAATATTATTCTTTAGAACAAAATTTACTTGACAAACGTTTTAAGACATGCTTGCTCATTCAAGTGTGTACTGTTCAGATTATATTTACATCTCGCATGTAAAGACATTTTCTATCTCAGAAAGTTGATATGTTGTATTCTGGCTTCCTTTTAAAATCTGTTTTATAAAATAGATTTTTTAAATGTTATTGTCGACATCTCTTTGTCAGTATTTAAATTAGAGTACAAAATTAACACTAACATGTAATCCCTGTACACTGTTTTTATTACAAAACTATGCAATTTTGGTGGCATCTATGCAAATGCAGATAGTGTGTAGGTCTAAGCCAGGGAAACATGGGGCTCCCAAAAGGGGTAAGTAAATGTCCGACTTTTCGGTTAAGGATTTTGGTAACCGGTTCGTGATCTTTCGCCCGAGTAACCGGTTAACCGGCTAACCGTTGACAACCCTACATAATACATCTACATACCAAATCTATAACATCGGTCAATATCTAAATGACGACCATTCAGAACCCGACCTAACACGGACACATTGTCAAATTAAAAAAAAATCAACGCAGATTGCAGTAGTGTTCGTAGTGACACTGCACACTTTTACATAGTGATATTGGACAATGTATACATTTCGACTAATCTGAAGCCAGTCTTCAGCAGCCGTTTTCCGGAAGATGATGGCATTTTCCCCCATCTTCAAGAACACGATTACTATATTCAATTAAACAACTTTTATTTTGGTCCATCAATCAGAACAGAAATTAGTATAGCCTAAAATGACAGGGCAAATGATAGGCCATGATTTAGATCTGTTCGGAAGCTTAACATCGAATAGCATCAGTGACTACATGTATTATGTAAAAGAGAGGATTAATTAGGTTGCCTTACAAGCGTCAGTTGTAGGGAATTTCCCTTTAGTTTAGCAGTAGAGCATCGGGCTGGAGAGCCAAGGGTCTCGGGTTCGAGCCCCAGCGACGGCACTATCGTTATCACATGTCCTCGTCCTAACACAAATTGGTGCCGTTGACCCTCACCGTTCAAGGTAGTTGAACCCTCAAATGGTACATAAGGAGAAGGATTTTAAAGATTAAAACCTCAATTTCCCTTTTGAGCCCGGCCCCTCTGCAACCAAAGGGTCCCCACCCACCGTCTATACAAGATCAAGTCCTTTTTGCCTAAGGATGCCCGAGACCAAATAAGGATAAAACCCCCTTATCCCGACGGAAAAGGTAGGGTTTTAATGATTTTACCTCTATTTCCCCTATTAAGGCCTGCCCCTCTCCACCCAGGGGGTCCAAACCCACCATTTTAACAAGATTGAGTACCCTTTGTCCAAGGATGCTCCGAACCAAATTGGGACGAAATCTCTAAATACCTGTGGTAGAAGAAGGATTTCAAAGGTTTCACCTCTATTTCCCCTATGGGGCCCCAAAAGGTAAATGCCGCATCGCTATACTCGCCGATGCTTTTTATTCATACTGGAATTTGTTTAAACTGATTCAACTGTTTTTCAATTGAGAACGAATGAATAATACATAAAAGTGATTCAATAGTAAAGCATCATTAAACACCAACAATGTGCCCCAGATCGTATCAGAGTGCTCCTATATTTTTTTCGGGGGAGAGGTTGTGTGTGAGGGTATGTGAGGTTGTGTGTGTGTAACCGGAACAATATACCGGTATTTAGACATAACTTCAAAATATTTGGATTTGGACAGCTCCCTGGATCATCCTGGAATAAAACTAAGCATTCTGGGCGAAAATTCGTGTTTTTACATACGTTTGATCTAACTGGACAAGATTATAGGTACAATTTCAAATTTACATAATTTTACAAAAAAAAAAAAAAATCCGTAGAAATCTTAATCGGTTTTCGGGTCATTTTTCAACGATTATGGGTCTGTTTTCTACGGATGCCCGGGTAAGATTTCTGCGTGAAATTTGGACCCCGGGTAGTTTTTCTACGCGGGTCACTTTTTCATGTTACACCGGCTCTAAATTGAACTGTCCATTCTTGCAGTTATACATGACATTGTGTATATAAATATGTATATTGTACTTCATTTGCCATATCTGCAACTTTATTTCCTCATGTAACACATATTGTGTGTCTGAGTGGTAATAAAAATCTTGAAATCTAAAAATCTTGGTTTGCAGCAACGTTATATATGATGAAGCAAACAATCCCTGAAATGCAATGCTTTGCTCCAGGCTTGGTTTAGTTTGGTTTGGAGACATGGTTTGTTGGTGTGCTTGCCTCCTTGTGATAGCGCTGATCCGATACACACTTTATAGTGATATCTCACTGAAAAGTGTTTAATGTCTATATCGATGAAAAAATCATTACAATCAGATATACTTTATAAAACAATAATAAGGTTTGAATTATCAGGGCATTTGCCATGATATATTATATATAGATGACTGCGTCTCGGGTAAACTCTCTCTTAGGTCATTTTAAAAAAAACTAGTTTTTCCAAAGCCAATAAAAGTCACGCTTCTTTGGTGATGAAAATCTTAATTTAAATTTATAACCTTACTTTGTTTTGCTTTAAAGGGACGATTTAGTGAGGTAAATTCTTTTTTATAATCTTGCTAAAAAAATGATAATATAATTTGATACCCTTATGAACTGTTCATGTCGAAAAACTGACAAGAGACAATGTTTTCTTGGCGTTTTTAGTCAGTAATGAAGAAATCCTTAACTGTACAACCATATATACGTTTTAGCGGCAGCTGTCGGTGAACTTCTAGCTAACAAATAGTTCCTAGACAAATATCCATACTGGTCAGCAAGTACAGATGTGGACAAGTGCTAAATACACCGAACAAGGACAGACCAACAAGAATTATATTTTTAGGTTGTAGAGATAGGCACTTGCCATTGTTGACTTTTGATGAATGAAGACTCGCTAGACTGATATCTAATACAATGTACATAACATCACGCAGAATTTGGTCTCACCTTTGCAGCCGTTACACTATATGGTAAAATGATCTTTGTTAAGATATGTAATATTATTTAAGACCTAACAGAATATTATTAGTTTCCCCAAAATGCAAAACCATTTAATATCCGTCAACAAATCACAGCATGGTGACTATATTACATTGTAGTTGACTTTCAGCCAAAAACAGATTGTGCAAAATCCGATAACTATTTCTTCCAGCACACTTACATATATTATATATAACAGTCATTGTATAGGCCGAATTCAGTAAAAACTATTTATATGTTAACGGTTAGAAAAAATAATGAATGTGTTTTTTACCTGGGGATTAGATAGGACGTTTTTCCTGTCTGCGTTTCCAACGACATGTTCACGATGTGTAAATAAAGCACCTTTTTACAGGTATTATAATCTCCAGCAAGGCCTTTGGTATGTAGCAGCCCTCATGGTCGATTCTATACTAAGGATTGACTGCTATCGACACTCGCCAGTGGTGATGTCGGCAGTATGAATTATTCAAGCGGAAACCTAATTCCGTATGCTAAGCAACCTCGATATCCATGGATTACGCTCACTTTCGCTCTCTGCTTTTTAATTTGATTTGGTATCATAAGCATTTTATGTTTATCTTTTTTTATTATAATCGTCTCCGTTCATGTACATTTAAATATATACATGGTAGAAATGCATCGTCGGATACCCAGGGTTGACTCACAGGGACTTAACACGTTCCTATGACCATTTAAAAAGGGGGGAGTAGTGTAAAAGATGTGGATTTATTAGGTTGCCTTACAAGCGTCAGCTGTAGGGAATTTCCCGTTAGCTCAGTGGTAGAGCGTCCGACTAGGAGATCGAGGGTTCGGACCCCGGTGGAAGCACACAATTCTCTTTCCTGTTACAGATGCAAAACCATCAGACATAACTTGACAGATGTCCATATAAATGTGTAGTAATCGAACAGATGTTAATATAGCAGGAAAATCAAAATTCCACCACAATTTTCCTTACACATTTAGAGTAACTTCTCCTTAATTTCGTTTGAAGATCAATTAGCGCTGTTAGTTACAGCGACGGTAAGGGGGTTCAGAGTTCGAATCCCGTACTCGCTCTGGTTACATTTATTCCCTCAGAAGACTGTCGTTCAATTCGCCTTTAAACGTTATTTTTTTTAATGAACAGGAACACTCTCATGTAAAATATAAACTTAATTTATTTAACAACAATTACGAAAAAAATTATTTCAACTTATATTAATCACTCTTGTTGGCCCGGATGTTAGCGCGTGGGGGTCTTTGTGTGGGAGGGAACCGGAGTACCCGGAGATAACCCACGTGGTCGGGCAGGTAACCCCAACTTTTTCACGTCCGATCGGGGAATCGAACCCCGGCCGCCTTGGTGAAAGACAACCGCGCTATCCACTGCACCACCCGACCGACCACTCTCATGTTTTTACATAAAATCAATACAAATATCAATCAATACCAAAATCTGATTTTGCAGTCGGTGTCAATTAAGCTCTGCGGATGCTAACTGAGATCCAAACAAGGTATCAACACTTGTGCGTGCCTGTGTGTCTTCCAGATGATTATTGATATTTTTACACAGTACTCAATAGGATCATGTTGCCAACGGCATATTTTCCCATAAATGCCACATCACCTTGATAATACGGACCCTCAGATCATTACAAACTCCATCTGGGTTATTGGAATGGCCTATCGGGAGAAAAAGAGCATTTTTCTTAAAGTTACCGTGAAGAAATCTGTCGGTCCCTAGGGCTGTGGCCCGACCCCTGGGTCAATTCTAGTATCATTACTGCATTCGGGTGTTTATGCCCAGCAATTACAGGTGAACTAATAGACATCAATGTACCGTGAATTTGTTACGTCATCGTATTGTTCATATGATGCATATTAAAAATTTATTTCATGGAGGTTTTTTTTTAAACAAAAGCAAACTGTAACTGCAAAGAAGTCTAGTTATCAAAAGAATTGTGGTCTAATTAATGATTTAACATATAATGGTAACACAATAACACAGCTAGATGATTATCTTTGTGTATCTTTCCTGATTGTCTGTTTATATGAAACACAGAAACCGGATGGCTGTTTATATGCATATGTGAATTTTCAGAATCTTAAATCTTGCCATGATAGCTTTATTTAATGCCAAATTGACTTTTATCTGGTAAATATTAAAACAGTGATTTTTAACCCCTTTCCTACTGGGGCCTGTGTCTGCTGATTTTGGGAAAAACGTGATTCGTGCATTTATTTCAGGAAACGAACAGCAGAAATTATCTAGCGGAAGGTGCCTTAAAAAGGCCCCAAATTGACCTTAAAAATCAAATTACTTATTAAGAAAACACTGAAATTCATCAATAAAATTGTGAAGTATAGAGATTTAAAGATGTTATACTATAAGATCGACAAGTAATTATGAATTAAAGTATATTTCGTATATCTACAAAAATATATATTGAAAATTTGTGTTTAAAACTCGTTAAACTAGCCATGCTTTAACAGCAGTGCATTAACTATAGCACGATATGAAACGGACACGGACCGGATCTACGTCAACGGAATTCCAGTTCCCTTTCCAATGTTGGTAAGAGTCACGGGGAGAAATATTGAGTGTTTACAGGTATGAGTCAATTTTCGTCATTAATTTCTGATTAAGGATTTGAAATGTTATCTTCATATCGGCCGATACCATTCCCTTGTTTGTATAGGGGGAGACGGTTCTCCAAGTCACGTGATGCTTCTGTTTTTTCTTACGATTATTTCCAAATATCTTGTTAACACTTTATCTCAAGAACGAACAAAGATATGACGTTCATATTTCAGTACATGATAAAGGACAACGATCTCACAATACCCGAACAAAATCATGATCGTAACTCCAAAGGTCAAGGTCACAGATCTATAAATAGAGAATTATTGAACGTTTTTCGAATGTCTATAACTTCAAAACCATTTGTTGTACTGCTTTAACGCCCAATACTTCATGCAGAGCTTGGTCGGGGCTAACTTTTTCCCACGACATGATTTCAGAGAATATCTCAAGTTAAAAGCCTCGCTATGGGGTCAAATATAGGTCAACAATGAAAAAATCAAAATAAGTTCATTTTTTTTCACATCACAAAGGGCATGTTCTAATGAAGGTATTTCCAAAGATTCAAGGTCATAGCATCAAAAATGACGAAGTTATGCTACTTTGAATATTCCATTTTCCCGCCAAAATTCAAAATTTCCAAAAAAATACTAAAACGCTTCTTCTCCTTCATTAAGACACATACAGGGTTGATATTTGGCACATCTATAGTATGTATGTTTGGCCTCACATAGAGTTCAGCATTTTGACCTTGACCTTCAGTCAAGGTCACAGGGGTCAAATGATCTTGTGGACACTCTATCTCAAGAACGAATAAAGATATATCGTTCATATTTCAGTATGTATTAGAGGACAAGAATCACATGGTATGTGAACAAATTCCTGATCATAATGTCAAAGGTCAAGGTCACAGATCTAAAAATAGAGTTTTTAAAAACGTTTTTCGAACGACCATAACTTCGAACGCTTTCGGTGTACTGCTTGACCGCTTCATACTTCTGGTAGATCTTGGTCGGGGCTTACTTTTTCCATGACATGTTATCAGATAACATGTCAAATTCAAAGCCCGCTGACCTCCAAGCACCAGTCACTATGACCCCTGAACTACTTCCTATCATCAGTCGCTATAACCGCTGACCTCCAAGCACCAGTCACTAGGACGCCTGAACTACTTCCTATCATCAGTCGCTATAACCGCTGACCTCCATGCACCAGTCACTATGACCCCTGAACTTAAAGGGGTTAATAGAGCTGTCAATCACCATTGCCTGTGTAACTATCATCATACCTACTGTTGTTTGGTGTACTGTATCCAAATAACAGAGCTGTCATTCACTATTGCCCAGGACTATCACTGTGTGTACTGGGTTTGGTGTCGCTGACATTCACAACTACCTCAAGTAAATAACGTCCCCACAAAGGTAATAAGGTTCCCACAAACGTAAGGGGGACGGAAGAAAGAAACACTAAACAGCTTTCTATCAATGCTGACTGTTCAGAAATAACTTGACCCTATGGTAAGGTTGGTCAAAGAAGGAAAGCAAAGGGAAGCGATCGTCAGTCAGAGAACATATCTTTGATCATTTTCCTGTTGGAAATCCCGTGTTTTGATCTTGATCAAATCTAGTTATTATTATTATTACTTAAACGTTAAAAGTAAACATAATAACAATTTACCAAAAAAAAAACCACAAAAAAACATCGATCGCAAAGGAATTGGTTGTAAAGCATACATGACATCATATTTTCGTACATATTATTTTTATTGTAAATTATCATATTTTATAATTACTGGGAAATAAACTGTATTGATCAAACTGATTGTTGTTACATTATAGGATTTGTTTCTCTCACATTTTTTTTTTTCTCTCACTCAGACACACATAAATGTGTGTTACAAAAGGTAATGTATATATAACATAGTTTGGGTGACAGGCAAGAATTCTATATCATAACATAGTACAGAGTATTAAAGCGGCTCCCACTAAATTATACTCCAACCCCATGTATCACGTCAATGAACAGTTCCCATAAGAAATCCTGTCATGAAAGAGGCGAAAAGAAAGAACCAAACGGTAAGACTGAGAGCTTCATTAACGACCAGCGCTACTTACACCCAGAAAATTCAAAATACATTTATAATTATGCTTTTAATGATATTGAAAATGAATTTCAAGCCAAGCTGGCTTTAGGAAAGGTTATTCTACTACAGCAAATAAATTTGTAATGCAAACACTGATATCAATGTATTTCTCCTATAATAAAAAGTTATATTGTTCACTCATTTATCTTAAAAGTGGACTAAGATACAGCTACAGACAAAATACCAGTGTTTGATTCAAAAGAATCTATTAAAAGATTTAAACATGTGACACATTTGACCTTGAATATTAACAAGGACATTAAGTTGAACAGACTTTATAGCCTTTCATACCAGCATGCCTCTGGCCAAATATCATTGCCCTGGGCATTTTGTTTGTTCAAAAGTCGTTTACAGTTTTCAATATATTTGACCCCTGTGACCTTGAATTTAATTCAAGGACATTCATTTGAACAAACTTGGTAGCCATTCATACAAGCATGTTACTGGCCAAACATCATCACCCTATGCCTTTATGTTATTCAGAAGAAGTTGCGAAAGCTTGTAAACATATTTGACCCATGTGACCTTGAATATAAGTCAAGGACATACATTTGAACAAACTTGGAAGTCCTTTATCCCAGAATGTTACTGGCCAAATAGTATCACCCTAGGCCTCTTGGTTATTCGGAAGAAGTCATTAAAAGAGTTTTACATATTTGACCCCTGCGACCTTGAAAATAGACAAAGGTCATTCATTTGGACAAACTCGGTAGTCCTAATTTCCAGCATGT